GTAATTCAAGATAACCTTCATATAGACGATGCTTCATGTTCTTGCCCCCCAAACCTTACGAGCTTGATTTTATCATCATTGTTCTATCGCAAATTACCCACGTTTTCGCCAAAGGTTACCTAGGCAAAGATTTATTACCTGGCTGGATCGCCGTTTGTAGCTAACGTACTAAGTACGCAATTTATTAATTAAGTCTATTTAGCATAGATAAATAATTGCGGTGGCGGTCATTTAAAAGTATAATGGAGGATGGGTGGTACGGCACAAAGCCGCCGCCTTTGATCTCAAGCGCACCGCGTACCATATGACAAATTAATATGCGAACACCATCAGTCAACGCGCTGACACTGAGACGATGATCTCATCAATTGGTATTTTTTAAGCGGGACTTTCTATCTTGGGTATTCTTTCAAAAATATGCAAAACTACTTAAAATTATAACCTTCTCAAAATTAGCATCAAGTAAATGGACTCACACTTTCCAAATTAGGCGTAACATAGTTTGAGCATAATTGCACCACAAAAGAGTTTATAGCACAATGCATAAAACCAATTCTGTTTCACCAAATAGTCTATCGTCATTGGTAACTTTAAATATACATTTGACAAGAATATTGTTTAAATTTGTTCAGCAAACGATCATTGTCAGATACGAAGAAGATACAAGCTGGATACAATAGTCTAATCATATTAGACGAAAATAACACTGGTTTGCGAAATAATTGTAAAGTCTGGTTTTATTGCTGCAAGTTGTTCAACGGGATATTTAGAACATGGAGGCATAAAATGGGTACACCAATTTTTGTGGGAAAACTTTTTATTCCACAAAAAAGAATGAGAAAACGTGTTTTTGGGGATTCAATCGAAAGTATTGGCAGGAACGGAAAAACTCTTCATATAAGATATTTATGAGACCTACAAAAGGAGACCACACGTAAAAAGATCCGACTAATAGCAATAAAGTTATGGCCGAAAACCGAGGCAAACCGCAGGTTTTGGCACTTGCCGGTAATGCGACGATGGTTGTTCGCAGATAATTGAAATTCTTCAAATTCGTAGGATTCAACAAGATTGGAGTAGATTGGTCAAGTAGCTTTTGAGAATTTCTAATTGCTTATCCTAAAATATCTGTTTTCTGGCCATCACAACTAGTTTATTGAGCAATATACAGGGTTAGTTCCAAGCGCATTTTATAGCACCTTGCCAGTATGAATCGGAAACCATTCCGGAAGATAAATATTGTTATGCAAAAAGGATGGATTACGTTTTTCCTTCTAAACAAATTCAAACATTTCGTATTTGTGAGTAAATCGCAACACAACATGATAGATACATTCGCTTTGTTTCGAAATGTGTATAGTTACGTATGTTCCGAATATCGTAGCGCATTAATTTGTTCAATTACACACAAATACATGTTTATATTTTTTTAGAAGAAAAAAAAACGTAACTTTTGTTTTTCGCATAAAAATAACATTTATCTTTCGGAATGGTTCGTGATTCATACCGGCAAGGTAAGCACGTACGTATATTTAGCTATTAAATGCTCTTTGAACGAACTCTGTTTATTGCTCAATAAACTAGGAGTGATGGCCGGAAAACAGGTATTTTAGGATAAACAATTGGAAATTCTCAAAAAACTACTTGACTGATATGCTCCAATTTTGTTTTTGTTATTTAGAAGTATGAATCCTACGGATTTGGAGAATTTCAAGTAGTTGCGTGAAATTATCATCCCATTACCAACAAGTGCCAAAAACTGCATTTTGCCTCGTTTTTCGGCCATAACATTTTTTCTATTAGTCGGATCTTTTTACGTGTAGTCTCATTTTATAGGTCTCATAAATACCTAAAAATCTTATATGAAAAGTTTTTTGTTCCTGTCAACACTTTCGATTGAATCACAAAAAAAGACGTTTTCTCATTCTTTGTCCAATAAAAAGCTTTAACACAAAAATTGGTGTACCTGTTTCATGCGTCCATATTTTAAATACCCCCTTGAACAACTTGGGCCAATAAAACCAGACTTTACAATTATTTCGGGGAAATTTGCTAATATGATTAGACTACAATCATTTCTTTGTTGAACAAGACTTTTAGGTGATACAGTGACGTACCTAAATATCGCAGTATTAGTAGATTCCCAATGCAAGTTCCGGCAACAAATTTATGAGCATCCTTTTTATTACCAGGGCACCGCGGCTGCTATGAAGAGCTTAAAGAAACTAGTAGAACTGGGAAAACGCTTCCTCAGGTATATGATTCGACAATCTCAATACCCTAGCGATAAAGAACCGGACATATCGGCCAGTTCTGGTTGTACGAAGTTCGACACGGTTACGATGGGAGACCGAAGTCGTGCAACACGGTCCCGAGAATGCCGGTAGAGAAGAATCTTCGATCAGTCTGAACAGCATCGAACATGGAGAATGTAGTCGGGTCGGCAGCACCTTAAACATGTGAGCAGTACTCGAGACTAGGTCTTGTCTGAGCTTTGTACAGGGTGGGGAAATCATGCGGAGAAAAGTACTTCTTGGTCCCAACAAATAATCTAGCTTTTTCCCAGCAGCTGCCGCTGTTGACGAGATTTATTCGTGCCAGATCAAGTCCTCGGTGATCTTGACTTCGAACAGCCGAAATGAACGGCTCTTTGGAAGAACTCGGCCATCTATCGAAAACGAATCAGTGCTAGGGCGCTTCAAGGTACAAACAAATCATGACACTGCACCAGATTGTTGCGTCCCTAAGCAGCAATAACCTTCAGGTCTCTCGTCAAAGAGAAAGTCACAGTCTTCAGATCACCGGCAAATATCGGCTTGTCACCCTTAATTCCCTCATGTAGAGTGCTGTCATCAGCATTGGCGACAATTACAAATAGTTTAATTTTGACGTATGCGTAAGACTTACGTTCTTTTGTTAATGGAGATGCCACTCAATGTGATGATTGAAAATTATTTTGACAATGACCTGCTTTACACAATGTACACATTTGAGAAAACATATTAGTGAATAGGAATCATGTGCATCAGAATGCTGAGATAAATGACGTGCATACAGAATAGTGCTTAGTGGCTTTAAATACAATATTTTGCTACTGATAAGAGATGCTGAAATTATATCTTTTAATCTCTGATGGACTACATTACCAACCAGAAGTTAATTGACTGCTTATGTCACGAACACTAAAGCGACTCGACCGCACCAAAAATCCAAACATTAGGATACTTTTATGTACTAAGTGACATATAAATCCGAACACCCAGTTTAAATGGTTTTATTTTAATAAAAGTTGGTGAATGTATTTATCTTACTGTAAATAACAAGTGAAAAAAATTTCAGCCTTATCAGTTGGACATTCCGGTTTTTATACTGCTTTTTTTTAATTCACTAACGCTCTAAAAATGAATATTTCAGCCGCAGTAAAGAATCAACGTTGGCGGATTTTGGTTCTTGACATCCTTTACGATCGGTTACGATGCCTAGAGTACGATTTCGTCAACTTAGTGAGTTTGATAGGGGCCGTATAGTGGGACTTCGGGAAGCTGGACTTTCTTTTCGGGCAATTGCAGTTAGAGTGCAAAGAAGTGTAGACACTGTGGTTAGGTGTTGTCAAGCATGGCTTCGAGAAGGCCGTACGCAAAGAGCAAGGGGCACTGGACGCCGCCGTAGAACAACAGACCGTGAAGATCGCCGCCTAAGATTATTGGCCTTAAGGTACCGTTTCTCCACTACCAGGTCCATTGCAAATGAATGGTTTGCAGAACGCGGAAGACCTGTTGGCATGCGAAGTGTTTACCGACGAATGAGAAGTTTTGGCTTGTTTTCATACCGGCCACACTGGGTCCTCCCTTTAACTCGAGAACACCGACGTAATCGCCTTGAGTGGTGCAGACAACGGTCACTCTGGGATCAGGAATGGAACAGTATTGTCTTTAGTGACGAGTCTCGATTTTGTTTAGGCATGCACGATGGTCGAGCCAGGGTTAGAAGGCGACGTGATGAAAGGAGGAATCCACAGTTTTTTGTTGAAAGACATGTTCATCACACTGTTGGAGTTATGGTTTGGGGTGCTATAGCTTATGGTTCCAGGTCACCTTTAATCTTCATCAGAGGTAACATGAACGTGCAGCGTTATATCCACGAAGTTCTAGAACCCCATCTTTTACCCTATCTTGACACCCTGGCAGATCCAACTTTCCAACAAGATAATGCCCGACCACATGTTGCAAGAGTCACAATAGACTTCTTTCAACATAATGATGTCACACATTGTTACCATGGCCACCAAGATCTCCCGACTTATCCCCAATTGAGCACGTGTGGGATATGATGGGTAGGAGATTACTCAATTTGCAACGTCCTCCTCAGACTCCAGAAGCACTTCGAGAGGAGTTGGTGGTTGCCTGGAATGAGATACCACAGGAGAACATTGACCACCTGATCAGAAGCATGCCTAGGCGCGTTGGAGAATGCGTAGCACATCAGGGTGCATCCACAAATTATTAAGGTCAATGGGCTTTAAAGCAGTACAATCATTTTAAAATGTTTATCATTTACTTATTATGCTTCATTAAGTACTTATACAAAATTTTATTAAAATAAAACCATTTAAACTGGGTGTTCGGATTTATATGTCACTTAGTATACATTCGCCAAGATTCCGAAAAAAAGTTAGTATTACTTATTTATGGAATGATACATAATGATCATAAAAATAACATTTGTTCAATAAGGCAATTATTGTATATTTGAGCTTAATAAACATTAATTCTACTAATAACGTCGCGATGTCGAATCATAATGGAACCAAATATGGGTATATCCTTGCAAGGGACTGGACGAGAGGCGGATACACTTCTTCGAAGATATGTCAACAGTACAAGAGATTTCTTTATATTGTCCTTCTGCGTCTCTCTAATATGTCGCTGAGCTGCGTTGATGTAACCGAGTCATTTTCTCCAACCCTCATACCAACTACCCATAAAATACAAAAATCTTTACCTTCCACTTTTTGTGATGACCATCTCCGTGCCCAGTTTGTGGAATTTCTCCCACAGGTCCTTCCCTTCGAGCGTGACCTTAGGGTCGTCCACGACACCGTCTTCCTCAGGCTGAATGGCCCTTAAGGGCCTCACCATCGCCGGATGGTGTTGATGAGCCGCCACGGCGGCAGCTAAAACTACGTCTTCAGCTGTAGTGTACGGATGGTGGGGACCTGGAACATCACTTGTTAGTCTCAGCCACAGGTGAGCCATAGATGAATCTATAACAAGTCGTTTTGATTCCTTAGAATGGAAAAAATATTCAATTCTCAAATCAGGTGTCCTTGGGAAAAGGGAAACATACAGAAACCAAAGTGATCGGCAGTATTGAAGACATTTACACAATAGTTTCATTCATTTCATATTGAATGCAATTTTCAAGCGCTTGCTATACATATACCCCCCTCTTCACAATCAATGGTCCAAGTTGAGGCAGTACACGCTGCTCCAACGAAGTACAGTTAAAGATGGTGAATGTTTCGACTGAATGGTAGATATAAAAAAAGTACTTTTTAAATTCAACCTGGAGACACTCATACCATGAATCCGATTTTATGACATGAATCGTTAAATCGGCTTGTAACGGAGGTGAGATAATTTAGGGCTATATGAGAACCCCATTTGGTAAATTGCAATATTTACGAAACCGAGTTTTTAGTTATTTATTATACAAGGGAAAAAAGTACTAGATTTAAGCTTGAGGCGCAGACAAAAAACAGAAAGCTAAAATCTAGATTTTTTCCGTATATAATACACAATTTTATTCTGTGACGGGAAAATCAACAATTTAATATTGAAAAATTATATTATAATATTTCAGTCAGAAAATTATCGCTGTGAAATTTGAATTTTGAAATTAGTAGGCTATGTTGTACCTATAGCGACAATTAGACCTGCATTGCTAAGGAAACTTTCAAAGTAATCAAATAGCTGTCAACTTAATTTTGTGATTTGTTTTAAAAAATGTGAACTTAGTGGTTGTTAAGAAATTATTTTTGATACTATACAGTAAAAAATGTCTGATTCTGAATTTTCTTTGACTCCACCGGAATTAGTAGAACTAACCCAAGTAGCGTCACAAAACTTATTGCCAGCTAAATTGTTTATACAATATCCGGGAAAAAGTACTCATTTTTACACATTTTGATAGCAGTTAACAGAGAAAAAAAGCTGTTTTTAAACTTCCAACCCGTCACTTTCTAAAGTTTGACCGATTGAATGAAACAAGTTTAAAGAACCAAGTTGCAATTGAACATGTACAAAGAGAACAATGTTGGAAGATCGGTGAAAATCAGACAGCACGCATTTCTTAGATATGTCTGGACGTCTCTACCCACCAAGCTGAGAACGTAGAGCTTAGCGAATTAAATTGTGACAGAAGAAAACGCAAAACACTCGTTATCATCTCTTCAAATATCTTTTGGTGCTGGTAAACTTAAGAGGCACAAAGAAATGATGATTTTTGACGCACTCAGGAGTTTCGATTATGTAAATTAAAATAAGAAAAAATAAAACGTATACGTTCCTTGCATTTCACCATATAAACTCAACGGTGTTTCCAGAATGTTCCGCATCCACGATGGAACTTTGTTGTGGTTTGAAAATGGCTGGGCACTGCTTTGAACAGAATTTCCAAAAATGGAACAAACCCCAACCAACATCCCAGACCGAACCCAAAACCGGTTTGGGATTTGGTTTGAGTTTTGGCTTAAGCTTTGGTTCAGACTTTGTCTTGGTTTAGGTCCTGGTTCAGGCTTCAGGTTTCGGTTTTTAACCTTTGGGTTTTGGTTTAGGCTTTGGTTCGGATTTTGGTTTAGTCACAGAATTTCCAAAACTGGAACAAAACACAACCAACGTCCCAGACTGAACCCAAAACCGGTTTGGGATTTGGTTTGAGTTTTGGCTTAAGCTTTAGTTTAGACTTTGTGGTCTCGGTTTAGGTTCTGGTTTATTCTTCAGGTTTCGGTTTCTAACCTTTGGGTTTTGGTTTAGGCTTTGGTTCGGATTTTGATTTAGGCACAGAATTTCCAAAACACAACCAACATCCCAGGCCAAACCCCAAACGGGTTTGGGATTTGGTTTGAGTTTTGGCTTGAGCTTTGGTTTAGACTTTGTGGTCTTGCTTTAGGTTTTGATTTAGGCTTCAGGTTTCGATTTTTAGCCTTTGGGTTTTCGTTTAGGCTTTGGTTCGTATTTTGGTTTAGGCTTTGGTTCAGCCCATGCTAAAACTCAATGTAACACATGATGTTTAAAATGATTTTAGTCACATGGCAAGGAAAATGACTATGAGTGTCTGGTAAAGACTGTCAAGATGATTTCCGTTGTTTATATTTTTCAGTTCTGTGAAGTATTTTTGACAGGTTTTTGCTCCGTGTTCAAAGCAGTATTAAATGATTTGTGGGTACCATATATAAAACTTTTATTATTGTATTTGAAAAAAATGCTTCGACCGCTACAATTTCTGTTTTAAATTACGTATACATAATTCACACTTCTACTTCCGTAAAAAATGCATACATCACCATTTCTCTAAGGCTCCCAAGTTTACAAGGCGCCAAACCTCAGATCTAAAATCTCTTTTAATATATGGCCACATTGAAGTAAAATTTGACTTTTAAATTACGAAACTGAAATTGTAAGAAATGTTTCAACTCGATTTCGTGATATTGAGATCATGAAACGCAGCATACCTAGTCGTGAGCTTCAGTTCAGACAGGTTTCATAATATCACTTTAATGAAAATGAATTTTCTTAAGAACCGCTGTTAGAGTGAAACTGGAGAGCAAAGTATCAGAAAGGATCTTTTGACGTGAAATCAATCAACATCAGTTCATCATTTTTGCGATAAGGATTAATTTGGCTTTTTTCTGATTTTACCAAACAAACGTTGTCATAAGAATCCACCACTACTTCGTAACTAATAGAAAACTGTTTCCTATGTGAGTGCGCATATCCAAATGCAACTTGTTTCGTGAAAACGGCTTCAACAGTGTGCATCTTACGTAGTACATATTTAGTTTTTGGTATAGCTCCGGTTCTAGTTTTGGATTTACAGTTTCTTCGGAAAATATTTGTTTGTGTGTTTCATTGATCAATGCCGACAAATATGAACCAATATAATGTCCAGTGTTACTCACCTTAGACAATTGCGAGGAAGAGGGTCAGTACATGTAAACTATATAATCAAAACATATCAAATTGAACTAAATGTGGTACGTAAATTCGTGGGCGCGTCCATGGGGGGGGGGCAAAGAGGGACTATGCTCCCCCTAGTTTTTGCTTGAGAATTAAATCTAATAGGGTATCCGATTCTTAAGCAAGGAATGGTTTGAGTGTTATTTTTTTGTTTTTAATACTTCCAAGAAAATTACCTGGCTAGATCTGAATTGTGAAGATCTGCCGCTGCCCGGGGAAAGAAATTACATTTTTCCAAAATACAAGCAATCCCACTGCAGGCAGACTGAAAAGGATGAAGATTGCTTGTGCTATAAAAACGAATCTAAAAACATCTCAAATGTCAAAATCCATTCATCTGTTGGGGCTGCAGTCCGGGAAACGAAAATCTCAAAGTAGAAGTTTGCGTTTAAAATCCGTCGTTTTGTATTGAGTCGAATTTTAGTATACCCAGTGAAATAGGAATTTCAAGGTTGAAATTTTCGATCAAAACCCGCCATTTTGATTTTATGAGCCTTCAGTATGCAGAGTTTCACTTTCGCTGTCAAGAAAAATCTAGAGACGCCTCATATGTCAATATCCATCAAGCCGTTCAAGCTGAAGCGCGTATCACCAAAATTTCAAGATTTTTTCACTAAATTGTGAAGCATTCAATTTTCAGTCGCCAGAAACCCACCTTCCCAGGACAAATATCTTGCTAAACGTAATTCTGGAGACCAACAAAGTACCCCCATTGAATTTATATGGGCGCCCACGACTAAATCACGTAGATAATGTTCTCAATACTCTCCGAATGATTTACAATCGATTTTGTAACATGTAGGAGCAAAAAAATTGCAAAAACTTTCGAACTATCCTATTTTGATTCACATTTGCCTTGATCTAACTGTAATGAGAAGAGAGAAATGACAAAAAGGCTACATGTATCTTACCTGCAAGTGCGGGATGATGAGCAGCCGCGGCGGCTGCAGCTGCCGCCGCCGCTGGATGGTGAGGCGGATGTCCCAGTTTGGGCAGCAGCGGGTAACCTGGATGTCCGCCTGCAGCACCTCCACTCGCACCGAACGCCGCCAAAGCAGCAGCCGGGAAGAAGCTGAAACAAAAGAAGAAACATTCACACTCCCCTTCAAAGCGAATATCTATAGTCTGGTACCAAAACGAAAGAGAACAACATCAATCATGGTCAGTCACTGTTAACGCGTCTCTTTCACCATACGCAAAGTACATCGCGTAATTTACCGCTATTTACATTTCTGGTGGCAAAAATAGGGATTCCTTTGATTTGAACTCCAAATTACTTCGACGGCCATAGCAAAGTTACGCTCAATGCCGTTATTAGATGAATCTTTTTAAACCTTACAACATTTTTCTGTAGGAAACAGATTTTTAAAGATATAATACTTTTTGAGCATCCTGTATATTTTCGCTGATAAAACTATGCCTATAACCTTCCTCGGGTTTCAATGATTAAGTGTACAAATCTTCACCACTCTCTGTATTGTGGTTCAGATGGTATACTGACTGCAGTATACTAAGTGACATATAAATCCGAACACCAGTTTAAATGGTTTTATTTTAATGAAATTTTGTATAAGTACTTAGTGAAGCATAATAAGTAAGTGATAAAAATTTCAAAATGATTGCACTGCTTTAAAGCCATTTGACCTTTAATAATGTGTGGATGCACCCTGATGTGCTACGCATTCTCCAACGCGCCTAGGCATGCTTCTGATCAGGTGGTCAATGTCCTCCTGTGGTATCTCATTCCAGGCAACCACCAACTCCTCTCGAAGTGCTTCTAGAGTCTGAGGAGGACGTTGCAAATTGAGCAATCTCCTACCCATCATATCCCACACGTGCTCAATTGGGGATAAGTCGGGAGATCTTGGTGGCCATGGTAACAATGTGACATCATTATGTTGAAAGAAGTCTATTGTTACTCTTGCAACATGTGGTCGGGCATTATCTTGTTGGAAAGTTGGATCTGCCAGGGTGTCAAGATAGGGTAAAAGATGGGGTTCTAGAACTTCGTGGATATAACGCTGCGCGTTCATGTTACCTCTGATGAAGATTAAAGGTGACCTGGAACCATAAGCTATAGCACCCCAAACCATAACTCGAACAGTGTGATGAACATGTCTTTCAACAAAAAACTGTGGATTCCTCCTTTCACCACGTCGCCTTCTAACCCTGGCACGACCATCGTGCATGCCTAAACAAAATCGAGACTCGTCACTAAAGACAATACTGATCCATTCCTGATCCCAGAGTGACCGTTGTCTGCACCACTCAAGGCGATTACGTCAGTGTTCTCGACTTAAAGGGAGGACCCAGTGTGGCCGGTATGAAAACAAGCCAAAACTTCTCATTCGTCGGTAAACACTTCGCATGCCAATAGGTCTTCCGTGTTCTGCAAACCATTCATTTGCAATGGACCTGGTAGTGGAGAAACGGTCCCTTAAGGCCAATAATCTTAGGCGGCGATCTTCACGGTCTGTTGTTCTACGGCGGCGTCCAGTGCCCCTTGCTCTTTGCGTACGGCCTTCTCGAAGCCATGCCTGACAACACCTAACCACAGTGTCTACACTTCTTTGCACTCTAACTGCAATTGCCCGTAAAAAAGTCCAGCTTCCCGAAGTCCCACTATACGGCCCCTATCAAACTCACTAAGTTGACGAAATCGTACTCTAGGCATCGTAACCGATCGTAAAGGATGTCAAGAACCAAAATCCGCCAACGTTGATTCTTTACTGCGGCTAAAATATTCATTTTTAGAGCGTTAGTGAATTAAAAAAAACAGTATAAAAACCGGAATGTCCAACTGATAAGGCTGAAAATTTTTTCACTTGTTATTTACAGTAAGATAAATACATTCACCAACATTTATTAAAATAAAACCATTTAAACTGGGTGTTCGGATTTATATGTCACTTAGTATATATTCTGAATTGATAACGAGCAAAAACGATTTCTTACCCTCTCGAATATGTTCCTAGGGTTATTAGTGTGTGGCAAAAAATCCATTAACCCCGAACTCGAGTCGCTTTATGCACTAGGTATGCAAACAATCTAACGAGAATTTCCCGGAGAAAAAGTGTGAAGAAAACCACTATAACCTCTGACGTTGTGGAAATTCCGCTACACAACTACCAAGTAAAATTTATGTATGGACATATGCACATATAAAGTGATGTTTTTCCTGGTGTAACGTGATTGCCCATATGATTACATTATACACTAATGATGGTAGGCAAAAGTAAGACCGGTAGCTTATTATAGCCAGCATAAATTAGAATTTTTCATTGACATGCACGCATCAGATAGCTGTGTGCAAGCAACAAAATGAGTCAGCGGAGATATAGTAATGAAGACAAATCATTAGACGTCGTTTTATAGTGATTTCAATGTCACACGTATCATGTTTTTATGTGCGAATATCGCGTCGAAGACATCAAGACATTTACAGTGGTCTACTAGGCGGACTATCTTGCAATGCGACGACATTAATTGGAATCCTATAGTATGCACGGTAATAACCTAATGGTAAAAGGAGCGGTTGCTAGGAATTGGTTTTAAGTAAGTTATGTGCCGGAAGAACGAAATATTAATAGGAGAAAGACGGAAGCCTGACGCCACTGCTGCCAACAACTTTGCTCGTTAAGTTAGATTCCAAAGTATAGCAACACAGTATTCAAAGTCCGGCGTCATGTTCTCAAGCATCGCAAGCCTCAGTCGTAGCTCCAGTTTTCTACAAGTAATCCAGAGCATCAACTCATGGTGTAGCGTTTTTTACTAAATTCAAGATATGTATTTGATTTAGACAGCAATTCACTGCGGATTTGAAACGACTTTTCAGATAGCTCACATTATCCAGGATACATATTCTCTGAAATAGTACCCTGCAACTGCGTGACGCGTACCCTTTCTGGTTCCCTAGACCTAGAGAACATCCAACATGAGCAACTTATCTCCTTTGACCTTTCAGAGAGGTTTTGCAGATGGGTAGTGGAGAAAAAGACCGGCACCCACTACCTCTCTGATAAAAAAACTGCATTCAACGCTGGCTAGAGACGCAGGATATGGTGCATATTTGTAAGACCTACTACCGAGCTGGGTCCTATACTCTAACAATAAAGAGGCATCCAATCCAAACCTAGCCATGAAGGACGGTTAATCTTTACCAAGAAGCCATTAGTTCGAAAATACGGGATTCGAAATTAAGCATTCCAGCAGCTGTTCGTTTCACTATTCATCAAACATATCGATACTTAAAATATGACTGCGAAAGGCCATTACAGAAAAGCCAATCAAACACATTGGCATCTTAACTCTTAATCTCAAATTCTGCTGATTTTCTACCGATACCGATACACTGACAGTATGTCTTTAAGCTCTCAAACGTTGAACCATTATGCAGTAGGATGCATCTACTACTACCGCGGATGAAGCAGGAAAGAATTTCTCCGCCATTTTACATTCTTCATCGGAGCTTCGTCAAGCAAGCATCGTGCGAAAGTCGGGGAATCGTTTTAAGGATTCTTCCTCATTGTCCTCAAGCCTCAAGGTAAGGAGACAATCTACGCACAAAATATACTAAGTGACATTTAAATCCTAACACCCAGTTTAAATGGTTTTATTTTAATAAAATTTTGTATAAGTACTTAATGAAGCATAATAAGTAAATGATAAAAATTTCAAAATGATTGCTCTGCTTTAAAGCCCTTTGACCTTTAATAATGTGTGGATGCACCCTGATGTGCTACGCATTCTCCAAAGCGCCTAGGCTTGCTTCTGATCAGGTGGTCAATGTCCTCCTGTGGTATCTCATTCCAGGCAACCACCAACTCCTCTCGAAGTGCTTCTAGCTTCTGAGGAGGAAGTTGCAAATTGAGCAATCTCCTACCCATCATATCCCACACGTGCTCAATTGGGAATAAGTCGGGAGATCTTGGTGGCCATGGTAACAATGTGACATCATTATGTTGAAAGAAGTCTATTGTGACTCTTGCAACATGTGGTCGGACATTATCTTGTTGGAAAGTTGGATCTGCCAGGGTGTCAAAATAGGGTAAAAGATGGGGTTCTAGAACTTCGTGGATATAACGCTGCGCGTTCATGTTACCTCTGATGAAGATTAAAGGTGACCTGAAACCATAAGCTATAGCACCCCAAACCATAACTCCAACAGTGTGATGAACATGTCTTTCAACAAAAAACTGTGGATTCCTCATTTCACCACGTCGCCTTCTAACCCTGGCACGACCATCGTGCATGCCTAAATAAAATCGAGACTCGTCACTAAAGACAATACTGTTCCATTCCTGATCCCAGAGTGACCGTTGTCTGCACCACTCAAGGCGATTACGTCGGTGTTCTCGAGTTAAAGGGAGGACCCAGTGTGGCCGGTATGAAAACAAGCCAAAACTTCTCATTCGTCGGTAAACACTTCGCATGCCAATAGGTCTTCCGTGTTCTGCAGACCATTCATTTGCAATGGACCTGGTAGTGGAGAAACGGTCCCTTAAGGCCAATAATCTTAGGCGGCGATCTTCACGGTCTGTTGTTCTACGGCGGCGTCCAGTGCCCCTTGCTCTTTGCGTACGGCCTTCTCGAAGCCATGCCTGACAACACCTAAGCACAGTGTCTACACTTCTTTGCACTCTTACTGCAATTGCCCGAAAAGAAAGTCCAGCTTCTCGAAGTCCCACTATACGGCCCCTATCAAACTCACTAAGTTGACGAAATCGTACAGGTCTCCGTGCTCTAGTCATCGTAACCGATCGTAAAGGATGTCAAGAACCAAAATCCGCCAACGTTGATTCTTTACTGCGGCTGAAATATTCATTTTTAGAGCGTTAGTGAATTAAAAAAAGCAGTATAAAAACCGGAATGTCCAACTGATAAGGCTGAAAAATTTTTCACTTTTTATTTACAGTAAGATAAATACATTCACCAACTTTTATTAAAATAAAACCATTTAAACTGGGTGTTCGGATTTATATGTCACTTAGTATATGTACATTCCGCTTATTCATAGTTCACAACCGAAACCAACACAACCCTAGTTCACAAACATTACAAATAGTTTTTTTGTTTTTAGAGCACCGAAAATGTGAAAACGATAACTTCTTAACTATATGTAATAGGGCTTTTTTGGCTTTTCAACTCCCCATTTATTCTATGGTGTCATTGCTTCTAAAGACAGCCAACCATGGACAGCAGTTTCGTGCTTTTTTGCTACTTCGCAGCAAGGACAACGAACGAAATCAGAGCAACTGTATACTATAAAAAGTGTGTGTTCTATCGAAATAAGACATCCCGGAGCTCCATCTATCACTGTAATCGATCACTGCGAAACGGTTCGTTATCCGAGAAACCCAAGCCTAAAACATGCTGAGGAGTAACCAAAAAGCACCGTGGTTTGCGGTTTTTGGTTGGATGGACGAAAGCAGGGCATGTTATTTTGTTCAATGGCAAGTAGACCACATTTATTACACAGCTAAAATCGTAGCCATCTAGCGGTCACATTACCAAAGAGATTTTAATGGACATCATTGACAAAAAGAATGATTACGTCTACAAAATATTAACGGAGAACTCGATTATGTTATTAGTACAAGAACTGCTAAGAATAAAATAAGTAAATTTAGAAAAGGGATAAATTGTAAAATGACTCGTAACTATCCTCGAGACATGGTCATACTTGAAAATACCTGATATGCAGAGTTGATCAACTTGACAAAAACGCACTGGTAGGAATCAAGATAAGACTAGGGGTAGATAAATGGGGGGTTGAAAAGCCAAAACGAACTCTATTACATATTATAGCATCTGCAGTATTAGTATGGTATTCAGACCTTGCCAATTGCTCAGTAGAGAGACGATTATACACATTAAGTATAAAGTAAGTACTCTTGGATCCAGAATAAATATCCAAAATTGAGGAAATCGTGACATACTTCTTTGAATTGATATCTTCATTTTTTAGGATTCAACTTCACTTGTTCTCAAAATTAAGTAAACCCTTTGATCCAGAACATAACACAAAGAAATTAATTGCATGTATGTCCGCTTATCTTAAACGAGACATTTTTTTATGTCATGCTTAAAACTGAGAAAATTTTCTCTAACACAGGACCTGAAGATATGAGCAGAAAGAACGCTTTGAACCATTGTCGGTGTTTTTGGCGATTCATAGATTAGAATCATGCTTCTAGAGCCAATCATGTCATTTGCCCTCAGGTAAGGCGGTCAGCTTTGTCTAACCTGTCAACTGTCTGATCAACGAATTCGAATAAATTCGCAGCCTATTTGTTTACATTGCATTATTTGTCGCCAATATTGCCTAGTTTAATAATAATAATACTTATCGGTTGAAAGATCTACCTTAATTAGACTTGTGCCGCTTTTTGCAAATCATGCAAGGAATATCATGTGCTAAATACCACTAAATACGAATACGAATTTAATTACAGAACTGTCAAAAATGAGCTTATATCAAATCCATGTGTAGGATGGACTATCATACCGACTACTGAGATTTCGGAATCAAACATGTAATAGATTTATCTATTTCGAGCTTTTGCGCTCTTAGTAACACAACTTGATTTCAGGATTAACTTTATTCTGTCTAAAAATGTATATTGATAGGTACTGCAAGGTACCTCGGATATTCCTCTGCCTAGCGCAGCATTTCCGGTGAATTATATCACTTGCAATACATAACAAGTTTCTAACAACAATATATTATGCAGTATGATCTTACAATACTACACCTCCCCCGATATACAAAAGAACGAAATAAAAATTCTTCTACCTCGCTGAGGATGTTTTACGGCACGACGAGTAAAATAATATAAAATATGAATATATACAAATTTGTAAACATTGTATGCATATAAAATTTATTTCTTAATTGTTATCAAACTATACGCTGGAAATGAAAAATTAGTAGAAGAAAATAAGTTTGAGAAGGCGGGATAGAAAAAGAATAGTTTAGAATACGAGCCCCTTCCCACTTCAGTTGGCCCAACTATTGAAATCTTAGTTTTTTTCTTATCAAACACAAATAATAAAAATGTAGCAGGGTGTTATAGGTTTAAAATATTAACAATGAATATTTTGATAATATATAGTAGACAACACCAACTTTATCACTCCCTAATCAAATTTGCAGCATAAAAATAACACGTTGCAATTACAGCATATCAACCTATTTTCATTTCAATGCAAAATAAGTCTATAACGCATAGGTGGCTGTGAAAAATAAAAGCCATGACAATTGTTTTTATTAATCACAGCTGTCAAAATAGGTTTAAAATAGTTTTGGGTAGCTAAGGTTTTCAAAATGGGTAGAGGAAAGGTTATTAGTGAGAAAATTCGGTTACTGATAATTAATTTTTTTAATTCTGGGAAATCAAACTCAGAAATTGCAACTTTGTTAGACTTATCGCGGTACAGTGTGAGAAATATTGTTAGAAGATATAACGTAACCGGTTCAGTTAATATTAAGCCACGATATGTGAAAATAAGTAATATCACAAATGCCGACAGAAGAGCATTAAGAAGAATAATCGTGAAAAACAGGCATGCCGATTATTTACAATTAAGTGCTCTGTGGAGTGACGCTGTTGGAAGGAGAATTTCGAGGTCCACAACTCATAGAGAGGCCCACAAACTGGGATTTAGCACTTGCAAGGTAAGTTTACTTATAAAAAAAAATGAAGTAAAAACCCTAAGTTGCACAACTTGTTTATAGGCCAACTCAAGCCACTATTAACTCCACTGCAAAAGAAAAATCGGCTTAGATGGGCTAATGAACATAGACAATGGACACCTCAACAATGGTGTGCAATACAATAGAGTGATGAGGCCCGAATCGAAGTTTGTGTTGGTGACAGCCGCAGTAGAGTTATTCGCAAAAAAAATGAAGCATTCCATGTTGACTATCTGAAGAGAAAAGTGAAATTTCCAGCATCCATTACGGTCTGGGGCAGTATGTCATCAAAAAGAGTAGGAAAATTTCATTTTATTGATGGAAATGTGGATACAAACAAATATTTGGCAATTTTAGAAGAATCGCTTTTACCAGTGATGGAAGAATGTTTGACATCCGGCCAAGATTTTGTGTTTCAGCAACATGATGGTGCAGCGTGCCATACCTCAAAAAAGGCTATAAAATGGATGGAAGAAAATAATGTACCACTTTTGAAATGGGTTTGTAGCAGTCCAGGTCTGTCACCTACAGGTATTGAAACTTTGTGGCACGAGATGAAAAAGGTTCTACGACAACATCCTGCTCGTACAATAACCGAACTGAGACAAAAGCTTCAAGAAATATGGGATGGTTTTACACCAAATTTTTGCAAAAACTTGGTTAACACTATGTCCGAAAGAATTTCAGCCGTAATAAAAAATAAAGGTGATGTTACCCAATGGTAATCTTTCAATTATTGCTTTGTTAACTTCGCGCATTTATTCGCACATTGTTTATTTGTTCAGATGTTCTATTAGTTATAGGTCTAAGTAGATTTCAAATATGTATTTTTTAAGACTAGAGTGAATCTAAAATGTTTTTGAGAAAATGAAATGTTTTAGAAGTAAATAGTTTCGTCATGTTTGGTTTATAAAGGCATATTTTGGTACAAATCTTGAAGTGGGCCAACTGAAGCGGGAAGGGGCTCGTATATGATAGCAAAGCATGGCCCTTTTAATACTTAACTACGTACCAATACCTAGTTCCTAACATCTTGCACAATACATGAATAATAACGTTTCGTCGTATTTTTATGAATGATTATCTCCTTATTGTCCTTTACAATTTTTACATTAGGGGATATGTGTTCTAAAAGTAAATATGTACCCGAAATACAAGGATTTGTTTTGTCACCAGTTTCATTCTCGACTAAAATTGTGTCTCCTTTTTTATAAACTATAGGATTAGCTGGCTTATCATAAGCCACTTTTCTGACCTGTTTCCATTTCATTAAATTTGCACTTGCTTGTTGCATTTTCAGTTTCGGGCTGCGCTTCTCTAACTTTTTCTTCAACGTTTGATTGAGCTTTTCCCATTGTATTAAAACTCTAACCAATCTCTTCTAAAAGACAGTGACAGGATCTCCATGTAATAGATTTATCTCTTTCGGGCTTTTGCGCCCTTAGTAACACAACTTGATTTCAGGATGATTAACTATATTCTGTCTAAAGATGTTTATTGATAAGTACTGCAGGGTACCTCTGTCATTTCCTCTGCCTAAAAATATATTATATAATCGTAGGCTTGCTCCTTCTACCTAGTCTGGATTCGTTCGTCAGGACAGACATTGTCAGTGGAAAAACAAGAAGAAGAAAAATAATGGAAAAGGGAAATGAAAGCAATACAGCAAAGAAAATTATATTGTACATCAGGAAAAGAGAAAAATGCTTAATCATTATTAGTGTTGATCTTTTTAGGTAATTCTGATAAACTCAGAAATGAATTCTGATTTAACCCAGATAAATGTATAGTTTTAGATGGCCTGATCCCGCGAACGAAAATTAATTTTGATCTCAGAGCCATGGCCAGCCTCAAAGTGTTTGAGAACCCGACTGTATGGTCCACCGCTGGCGCAACAAAGATTTGCCAAGCTCTGAAGTACTAAATTGCTCAAGCTGGATGAGTAAGCATATTAGGGCAGGGCAGAGATATTGTTGTAACCTAAAGTAAACTGTTTAAAAATAGATGTTCGGGGAACCATTTTACGTTTCAGCTACAAATGGCCAAATGAATGTTGAATCATCTTACTTTGTAGGAGACGCTGTGGCCGCAGCGCCGCCCCTTCCATCTGGATCTCTAGCCGCTGCTGCCGCCGCAGCTGCCGCGCTGTTCGTGGCAGCGGTCAGCAACGAGCTGACGCTAAAGTCTGTCTGCCTGGGCAGCTGAAGGAATGGATGGTAAGCCATGGTGTTGTTATGGTGTTGCTTGGCCTGCTGCTTGGCTTGGCTCTCGATGGCGGCTGCTGAGTGGCTGCTGCTTGAGGAGTCTAACGCCGTTTCGAAACGCATTTGGACAGCGTGAAGGGCGGGCCGCGAACGAACGCCGCCGCCCCGATTTAACTTAGTCTTCTAGCTGGGTTAGTGCCACTCAATGTGATCCCTCCCCTTAGCTCCGCCCACTCGCTCCGTCTCTCTGCTGATAGCCAGCTGCCGCTGATGTTGCTGCTGGAACAAAGATAGATTTCAGTTAAACACTTTTCCCAACGCGTTATCACAAAAAATATTCGAAATATTGATATCGTCGTTCTTATATTTGAGTCCTGGTCATACTCATAAATATTTCCTAAATGTTCTAATTATTTTCTCAATACCCGGACCAAAGAGTACTTATATCAAGAGATGACACTTTAAAATCCAGCTTCACTGACCTCGGAAGTCATCTGCATTATAGTAAAAAAGCAGATCTTGCGTATTTTTATGGTAAACAGCATAATTGTAAAGTTTGCTGTTAAATATCAAAGATTTGAATAGTTTTTAACATTCCATAACAGTACGCATTGTAAACAAAACTTTGCCGTTAGCTCTTGGACTATTATTGGTTTACAAATAAAAACAGCGTTCTATGTGTCCCTTTTTAAAATCATCTAAAATAGGTGTTGGTCTTCCATCTTCAGTGATCTCCTTTTTTTTAAAAAAATTATACAAATTATACAAGGAGAATGACTTTTCCAGTAGTTGATCGAATACGCAGCGACACTCATCCACGTTTAATTGCACGCACACTACAGCCGGTAACCAAAATGGCTACGAACGAGTGAGTAACCAAATCAAAACATGGTAACAAGCCCACATAATAGTCGCAGCGTACCACGCACTCGGGCGACCACGATCATACACGATCCGGCACCGACGGTCCCCGACGGTCTACCAAGTGTATCCATAAAGGAAAATGGTAACAACCGCTTCATAGTGTTCGCAAAACCTAGACACTATAGGGCGCATTATTTTCGTGGAGCTAATTTTCTATTTACTGAATTACTATTACATATCGCTGTTGGTAAACAAATAAATGAAATTATTTCACAGTACAGAGTCATAAAATATTTATTTTTAAGATTTTTAACTGTTACCAATGGTAACAATGGTTACATGGACGCTTCGCCACTGATATTTATACTTAGAAGAATGGAGTTCAGCTTTTTTCACGGTATTTGGTGGTTACGACAAAAGTAATAAAAAGAAATATATACTAAGTGACATATAAATCCGAACACCCAGTTTAAATGGTTTTATTTTAATAAAAGTTGGTGAATGTATTTATCTTACTGTAAATAACAAGTGAAAAAATGTTCAGTCTTATCAGTTGGACATTCCGGTTTTTATACTGCTTTTTTTTTAATTCACTAACGCTCTAAAAATGAATATTTCAGCCGCAGTAAAGAATCAACGTTGGCGGATTTCGGTTCTTGACATCCTTTACGATCGGTTACGATGCCTAGAGTACGGAGACCTGTACGATTTCGTCAACTTAGTGAGTTTGATAGGGGCCGTATAGTGGGACTTCGGGAAGCTGGACTTTCTTTTCGGGCAATTGCAGTTAGAGTGCAAAGAAGTGTAGACACTGTGGTTAGGTGTTGTCAGGCATGGCTTCGAGAAGGCCGTTCGCAAAGAGCAAGGGGCACTGGACGCCGCCGTAGAACAACAGACCATGAAGATCGCCGCCTAAGATTATTGGCCTTAAGGGACCGTTTCTCCACTACCAGGTCCATTGCAAATGAATGGTTTGCAGAACACGGAAGACCGAAGTGTTTACCGACGAATGAGAAGTTTTGACTTGTTTTCATACCGGCCACACTGGGTCCTCCCTTTAACTCGAGAACACCGACGTAATCGCCTTGAGTGGTGCAGACGGTCACTCTGGGATCAGGAATGGAACAGTATTGTCTTTAGTGACGAGTCTCGATTTTGTTTAGGCATGCACGATGGTCGTGTCAGGGTTAGAAGGCGACGTGGTGAAAGGAGGAATCCACAGTTTTTTGTTGAAAGACATGTTCATCACACTGTTGGAGTTATGGTTTGGGGTGCTATAGCTTTTGGTTCCAGGTCACCTTTAATCTTCATCAGAGGTAACATGAACGCGCAGCGTTATATCCACGAAGTTCTAGAACCCCATCTTTTACGCTATCTTGACACCCTGGCAGATCCAACGTTCCAACAAGATAATGCCCGACCACATGTTGCAAGAGTCACAATAGACTTCTTTCAACATAATGATGTCACATTGTTACCATGGCCACCAAGATCTCCCGACTTATCCCCAATTGAGCACGTGTGGAATATGATGGGTATGAGAATGCTCAATTTGCAACGTCCTCCTCAGGCTCTAGGAGCACTTCGAGAGGAGTTGGTGGTTGCCTGGAATGAGATACCACAGGAGGACATTGACCACCTGATCAGAAGCATGCCTAGTCGCGTTGAAGAATGCGTAGCACATCAGGGTGCATCCACACATTATTAAAGGTCAAAGGGCTTTAAAGCAGTGCAATCATTTTGAAATTTTTATCATTTACTTATTATGCTTCATTAAGTACTTACACAAAATTTTATTAAAATAAAACCATTTAAACTGGGTGTTCGGATTTATATGTCACTTAGTATACATATTCATAAGGCCAGGTCTAGATAACTCGCAACCATGTCGAATAAACCTACGACTAGACAAATAAGCAACTTGAGGTTAGAAAACTTTTGAATTTCGAGCTGCCGTACTACTTTTATTCCTAAACTGTATCTTGTAGTAATCTGCACAGGGCCCTAAAAGTTAACAGCTATGTGTGTGATAAATTTCAATCAATGAATTCGTCCAAAAAAAATTATCTGCATGGCAACAGCGCATTCATTTCAGACTAAAAGAGAACAGTGATGTTTAGACGTCATCAACGGTTATGTTTTTAGAATCATCTCTTATCTTTATTCGCCTATATAACAGTCCTCTCTTCATATAACTACTCTTTACCTGGACTATGGATGCAATACCTACTAGCGCTACTCTTCTCAAAAATCCGAGTATCGGGTTCCCGGTGAAGCGGCTTACTCTGGACCATTTTGGCTACTGACAGTAATAATAATAAAATTGATGTATTTTGCCCAGAAACTAACGCAACACAAAAAAAAAACAGTTGTGCAGCGTAGCCAACTTTTTGCAAGTGAAGATCCGTACCTTTACAGCGTTTTCAGATAATATGTTGTTTTTTAAAATACTTGAGTCTTGCAATACTAAGTTAAAATTGAAGCCATATTTTCACATTGCATCTGTCGAACATTCATTTTTCATACTCTTTTCAGCCATTCCTATCACGAAAGAAGAGCATTTGTAAGACATTTAAAAGGCATAGGTATCGAGAACCGAAATTTTTGTAGGTAGACATCACGAGACCCCAGTGCTGCTCAAATTTCGAAAAATTACCTAATAGAATGTGGCCATCATGAACAATGAAATTAAATACTATAAGTTTCTGAGTGCCTTTGGGAGAAGGTTATTAAAGAAACCAAAAAACTGCTTGTCATGGGGTGGACCAGCTCAGATTTGAGGAGGGCTAAATCTAAATTATCCTTAATTATGAGTAAAGGTTTCCTTTGCAAAAACCCGGAAAGCTAGTTAATTATTCATCTTTCGCTGCATTTTGTTTATTTTACTTTGTGAGGTTTTACTGTCAATTGTTCATAGCAATGATAAAAGAACAAATAAAAAATGCAATTATCTTACTACCAGAATGTGAGTTCAATTTAAGCAAATACCGTAAATACTAAAAATCATATAAAACAGGCAACTGATTCTGGGAAAAATATAGTGTAACATTGACTATATTTTGATGGTGCGTTAATTTCTTGGAGAACATTTAGAAAAGTCATATCAGGTCAGACTTTGCAGATCTCGTTTTCAATTAATTGACAAGCAAACGTTGTCTTGCGTTCAAAGAAATCAAACAACCTAGTAATTGAATACTCGGCGAAGCCGGCTACTCGGTAAAATTGGCTGAGTACGAAGAGTACCGGGTACAAACCGAGCACTCGGTGCATCTCTAACCTGGATTTCTGACACCCGATGATAACAACAATCAACAATATTTGGAGCTTATTCTTTAGCTGTTGGTTGGCACTTGCTTCATTGCTAAAAAATCGCGTATCGGTCACAAAATTTTATTACCACATTTACTACATTGACTGGAGAAAAATATATAATTCTAGAAAGCAAAAATTACATTACGTGCACTTCTGTCTAGTCTATTATCTATCTAGCTTGACGCTTCAGTTGCTATTATTGAGATCTTTTTCTTTTGTATTATTTTTTGTGTTTTACCATTTGCAAATTGATGAATTTATTCATCCTCATATCTTTTCAAATAGGTACTCATACAATATACATATAGATCACTTTATACCTATTTTATTGGAATTTCTTAGACATTCACTCAAATCTGTGTAGATTACCTCAAATCCTTCTAGGTCACAAGTTCTTTAGAATGTTACCAGTTTTTGGATATGGAATCATCACCACGTGGTTTGAATTTTCAGCGCGTCAGAATGGTGAATACCGAATAAAAGCGAGTATCTGAAACTACGAAAGTAACATCTTTATCTTCAAAGAATAGAACCTGATAATGAGAAACGATCTACAATTTTCTGATTTTTCCGATTAATGCATGGTGTTTCCTAACTACGGTACGAAACCTCAGGTCGTTTAAAAAAAAATAATTTCTGGGATACATGATTTATTCCTCATCTACTTTTAAGCGATGATTGTTTATTTTTTTATGTTTGGCATTTATTTTATGTTTTCCATGGATAATTTTTAGAATGAATAAAAATGATTTTTAAGGTTTTTCTCGAATACGAAGCTTAAAGAAAACAAATGAAACCAAAAAGTAGCATTTTTAGTTGCTTAATCTAAAGATATTATATAAAAACTATAAAAAAGTCACTAGCGTATTTTTTTCTCAATAATATGGCTTTGGTGCCCACTGTACAATTTCAAATAAGCGCCTTATCACTTCAAATAATTGTACCAACCAAGTTGGCTCAAGCATATTTTAATCTTCAACCAAACAACTTCGCACCAGACGCATAAAATGTATATATGTATCAAAAACCATATATTATCCCTTTAATATCAGGGCATAGGAAAGTTTATTCCAGGTATTCTCATCAGAATAATTATTTAAGGGAATTTAAGATGGATATACTTCGCAGAAGCCATGTCAGTTGTTTTTACTGAACTCAATCTTAATTTTCGGTCAAAACACAACATAGTATCAGTTACAATCTATGAGTATTTATTATGAGCTGGAAATGTAATCATCAGTGAATATACGTATATCTACCTACGTATAAGAACAGAGAGTCTGGACATATGACAGAAGAAAAGCGGCCTTTTTTAATTTAGTTATTAGTTAAAAACCAATGCTCCACGGGAACCACTCATCCGGACAATTGTCTACGTTATGGAGATACGGTTTTTACCATTTTAATGTTGTTGGGAATTATTTGCTATTTTTAGGATTGATATCCTTATAGAATTTAGTCAATTAACAAGAAGTTATATTTCACATAAGTATCTAAAAAATGAGTACTCGGATCAGTCCTCTAAACCTGTTTGTATATTTGTAGCATACAATAGTGAATATTTGAAAATATTTAGCCATAGTGCTGACACAGCAGTATCTCCTATCAATCTGAGCCTTAGTTAGATTGCTGTTACTAATGCAAAGTAATTTTTATTTTATCGAATTCAGTTTAAAGCCGACTAACGGCATTTTTTTCATTTCTCGTTCACAGTGATATATGTATATAATGATACTGACTTCCTATTAGTTTTAAGCTCCGGTGAATTATATCCTAAAAACAAACAATCAAACAAACATTCATGGTGAAAAACTGTCACAATCTCAGTGTTGCAAAATATATTTTTGAGCAATTGATACTAATTTATCCACCATGATGAGAATAAACTTCATCTGGGGACTATATCACGGTTTGCATTTCACATTTACAAACAAGATAGCTTACAGATTCAATGTATCTTGAAATCACAGCACAGCATCATAATCACAACTATGCGGATTTGTTAGAAGCGGGCAATTTTTTTAAAGCAGTGAAGCCAAATCTTAGAAGAAATTAACTAACTTATTCAAGGTACAAGAATATCGTACCATCTTATAAAACGTTCTTGTTAATGATCAGAAAAAAATAAGTTAGGCGAGTTGATGTAACATGTTAGCGAGCTAGTTCAGATGCACTCCAATAAACTATGAACGAGTGACTGCACATTAAAAAAATTACAAGACAAAATAGCTCTACCAAATTAGTGATTACAAATATATGAAGGTATTAAAATATAATGACTTCGTCACATCCCACCATTGCACAACAATTTCCTTTTATACACCGATTTTCATTTGCAGTCAATTTTTGATTCGTAAAGTTAATGTGTGTCCCTCATGTTAAGCATAGTGTTTTGATCTTTCATGCTCATGCTTAACGTACATGAAACAAATGAACGCCGTCAAAATTATAGGATAGTAACATCTAAAATGGTTATTCATGTCGTATTGTTCAGGAAACTGCTATAAAAACGGTGAAACAATAGCAAATGATTCATATGTATAAAATATTACGGCGAGGTTTTTAAGCACTCATTCACTCTACGTTTATTGCTAATTTAAACTTAAAGCCAGCATCAAAAGGTATATTACTATTATTACAGCGATACGACGTATTTCGCTGCGATAGCATAGAAAGACCTCTTTCAGTAACCCTTGCAAATCCCTTTTCCGACGGAAGGTGTGGTGGTTACCAGTTTTTGTCTTTAACCACAATAATAATGCTTTTCTGCAATATTTAATAGTCGAAGTTTTGATAAATAGAGTAGGCATTTCATAAAGCATTGCAAAGGCATATTTTCTCTCATGTTTGGATAAATATCATTCAATCAATATATGGTTGGCTCTTTGGCAAATTCGTTACGGAAAAGACTTTACATTTTCATATTTTCACATTTTTTATATAATTGCACTAAAACTTTAACTGTACAGTATGTAACTATGAAGTGTATTTTTGCGACAGATGCTGATTATCCAGTTTATTCACGGTAGGCAGCTATTTATTGATCCGAGAATTGCACTTTGGACTCGGTCTGGACCAGACCAAAACATAGCAACAATCTTCAGCGTTCATTCGGTTTCAACGCTACCATCATTCCTCAGTATTTGCCACATTATTAGCAGTTTTGGCGCACATTATCCTAGACTAGACTGCCATAGACCTAGTCTCTACGTATAAAGTTGACTTAGCTTGTTTCGCCGAGAACATATTGCTATGTTTGGAGAATATATTTATCAATTAATTTTCCACTGTATCTGCCTTTAGACAAATTTCATATGGATTAAACACTAACAATATTATAGGATAGATAGATAGCTTTCTGGTTAGATACAAGAAAAAGTTGAGCTGAAGGTATAACGCGCTCACATATGAACGTACCTAACTAAAATAATTTGGTTTAATAAAGAGTTGGACCAATCTTATTGCCAATTTTGAAATTGTAATCTTAGGGTACAATAGATTTTAGTTATTCTGCAAGTCCATGTTTTTCAAAAGATAGAGCAAAAACCGATGCAGATGATGATGACGACGATGATGATATTACTCATATGGAAATTGAACAATTCATTTGCATTACTGTGAACCATATATTTTGCCATCCTTTATAGCACAGATACTGAGATCATTTTGCACGATGGTGGTGGGTGGTGTCGGAAATGTTTTGGAAGCCAATATCTGAGCATGTTTGGCGAGAGATGACTTTTGAACCCAGTATAACACTATCCAGGTATTTGCATTGATCGAAGAAGGTGCTTTGTGCTTCCCAATGTTTTCTACATCCTTTGTTTACGTTTTTGGTCAAGTTTGTATCTGTCGGTCAGTCTCCCTTTGTTGATTGTCGTTATTGCTACCAACATCATTTAAAAATGCCCTTTTAACCATAATTATATAACCTACTGAACATCAACAAATTTTTGAATGCTTTTCAGATTCTTAATTTCATGTCATTACTGGTGTCTAACTCTAGCTAAATTTGGACCGTTGCAATTTTGATGTCGCCTTCAAGAATACCTTATATATTTCACTATATGTAATAACTTTGACAAATGATTTTAGCGACTTTATTCTAATTATCAGTGTCAAAATTATCATAGCGAATCATATGTATGAGGGCAAGGTGTCATCGAAATTAATTTCAACGTTTGAAATTATTTCTCAACACTTTTAAATATATAAATACGTTTTTTATTGGAGTTTCATATTTTTCCGGAAAGGTTAATTTTGTCCACGCTATTACCCTGTGTGAAAAGAAGACAGAACGTGAAGTGACAACTCTGTCTAGCTCGTTTACTACATTGCCTCTAACATATAACCTCGGATAAAAATTAGTCGATGGCTTAATCATATTCTGCTCCATATCGTTTTTTTTATTTTAGTTTGCCACTTTCCTTCTTGGTTACTGTGAAATATTAGCCGTAAATTATGATTATATTTGAGGCAAACGAACTTTAAACTCGCAGATGTATTATCGAATCTTTTCATGAGTCGATGACATTACAAGCAAAACCTGAAATACGGTTCCTTGATCCAGTATTCTTGTTCAAGCGAGGTTTAGTCATTGTTTTCTACGTTTCTTTCCTCAAATCTGGTTAACCGATTAACTAAGTGAAAAATAGAACGCATAGAGCACAAAAAGTTTTGTACATACCACAATAACTGAAGTGCGATGTTCCAAATGTCAGCGACGGCACAAAACCACCAATACACTCTCAATCACTGTCATCATAGTTCTTCTGTTTCACGACACTACCAATCACACTAGTCACTATCGTCGAAAAGTATCACGTATATAGAGCATCCACCCTAACGCGCGCGATGAGGAGGACGAGCTTCGACACCACTTGGAGGAGTATATCCCACTTCTGATGCTGAGGTTAGATCGTGTTGTGCAGTGCTGTTGAGGTACTACCGGTCCAGCTCAGCGGTTGAGGTCTGCAGCAGGTAGGAGGGTATAGTGTATCGCGGAGAACGGGCGTGAAAATCGACACCTCCACTCGTTACGCTAGACAGCTGGCGACTATAGCGCCGAGAGCAGGGCCGGTGTGTCGGCGTAGCGCTAATGACGAGGACGCTTGGCGATTGGCGGACGGGTGTCGCGCAGCGGCCGGCGGCCAATGGGCGGGCGGCATTCCCCCCACCCCTTTTCACACTTTCGGTGGGTTGGAGCCCAACGGAGGTGTGGCTGCCGCCGGAGCTGGAGTTGGAGCGGGATTTTTACGACACCGGCGGTGGCGCGGCAAGGCGGCAAACGCGGCGGCGAAACCGTCGCCGGGTTGTGGCAGCGGTGATGGCTTTTTGGTTTCTGCTGCTCACCCAGAGGATGCTGAGAAGGCGATTTTGCTGCTCTGAAACAAGGAGAGAAAACTATTTTAGTTCACGATGAGAAAGTCGGAAAAGTGATACAATGTGGTCGATTTGTTCGATTTATACAGATACAGAAAGATAATTTTTGATAGCAGATAATGGCTGTTGGTCATTTTTATGTTACCTAAAACATATTCGCCAGCAATTAGGGTTCTATAGAAGTTTCATTCTATACAAATGACCAAAAGAAAAAAGTACCTGAAAGGGTAGAATTGTCTTCCCATGTTTCCTGTTGTTATAAAAACAGAAGGGTTCACTGAGATTTGTTCATTGATCTTTCCGCAAACTAGTCGTCTGATACTTTTGAGCTGATTGACACGTGGAAATGTGGGAAAAATTCTTAAAATAGCACCAATACAGCCGGATGGCATCAAATAATGTAGTCAAGTAGGTTGACTGTGTACTTTCCACGCAACGCCGTCATCAGTTCATAAAGGATTATGTTCAGCACAAGTTACACCCTCAGAGACAAAAAATTAAAATCATGTTTATCAGGGAAATTGAACGGATCAAATCAGTCAAACAAGTCCTATCGGTGTTCCATCTGATACTTCCGGATACCTAACCCGTGCAGAAGCGGCAGTGATAGCAGAACATTTATCAAGACCGGTACGCCACCGGGAGCAGAAGAAGACGCGTATCGAAAAAATTTTTCTGTCATTACAAGTTAATATACGGGGAAATCTATGATGTGTGATATAAGTCTAATAGGTGCAATAGAATTACCAAGGTTAGGAGAATATAAATACCTACACCAAATACTAATTAGCGGATAGACCGACGGAAATAAATGACATGGCGTTTCGTGATGTACCTACACGCCATAAACAAATTTAGCCAACTGGTCATTTTCACCTTCTACGTTTAAACGTCTAAAGTGTATGCGTCAGAAATGGCCGCTCAATGTACACACACTAATAGAAAGAAATGTGTATTTAAGAGCGTAAACAGCAACGTGAAATTAATTATAGCGTGTTCAAGATCCTATTGATACTCCGCGAATGTACTCAGAACGCCGCCGTCGTCCTCGATGTTTCTTTCCATCAGAGCCGCATATGTTTGTTTATATCGTGCAAATCACAGTTGAAGATCAAAACATCCCAAAATGTTGCGAATTTAGAATGAGGTAGATACCTACTCGTGTTTTAGAATCCAACAGCGGCAACTCCAAGCAATGTTTAGAAAGAAAACATGTCACAGGGCGGTAAATTCCTTACGAAATCAAGTCAATTTCTTTTATTGGTGTTTTTTTTTGTCTTGGCGCAAATTAGCTTTGGTATTGCAACCGCAGTTTACTCTGAAAAAGAAAGTCCACAGTTTCAGGACACCCTGAATATGGTATGGATGCTATCCACAGGTAAGATATTCATGCAAATAGCCCCTAGTTAAAGCGCCGAGGTTCCTGGAAATGCTCACACTCTTTAACTATACTTTTAGAAGAACCGAAACGTCTAAACATACTCTAAAGGCGACCAGAACAATGTATGGAAATGTCATAAAGATAGATGGCAGTTGATACGGAAGCTAGCTGCCTAAGCATTGCGTTGTTTTGTGAATTTAGGGGAGACCACCCGTCAAACGTGTTGTGATGTTAGTTGAACAAAATTGATTGAGGTACACGATTTCCATATAATAACCATCCGACCGGTAACAAGGAAGCACTTTACATTGGTAGTTTGCATAAATATGGTTGTTTAGAGTTAAATTGAAGGCTAGCTAAAACAATGATCATTTTGTGTCTACAAGTATTATTTTTCTATACCGAACGTTTTTGTTACTTTATCAACAAAGCCTCTAAAGCTAATGTTGCCTTCAGATTTTCATTTAGTTCGATCCGAACTTGCAGCCCAGGTATTTTTAGGGCAGCTGAACGCACCACATCGCTGCAAGATCAACTTAGCTAATAGGTTAATAATAATAATAATAATAATAATAATAATAATAATAATAATAATAATAATAATAATAATGAGCTTTTTTTTGAGCTTTCGACAACCTCAATCAAATACGGCCTCGGAATCGAATACTAGGAGGAGAGAATGCTGGGAGGAGAAAATTCTCCATGGCCGTTACCCATGCCAACTGAGAGGTGACAACATAGATAAAGCTTTGTCATTCACCTATTTGAGAAAGGGATATCTCCATCCAACAACGGAAGGGTTCATAACTGCCATCCAGGACAAAGTAATAAAAACAAAAAACTATGAAAAACATATTCTCAAATCCAACGTCCCAGATGAATGTAGGAAGTGCAACCAGGCGGGCGAAACCATCGAACATATTACTGGAGCTTGCCCTGCGTTGGCAGCTGGCGATTATTTGGGAAGACACAACCAGGTTGCAAAAATAATCCATTCACAGCTAGCTCGTAAACTTAACTTGGTACAATCTCCTCCGCCATATTACAAGTACACGCCTGAGCCAGTTCTGGAATCAAAAGATGTAATACTCTATTGGGATCGGCCATTTCTAACCGACAAAACTGTAGACTTTAACCGTCCCGATATTGTCCTGATAGACAAAAGCAACCAATATGCACAGATAATTGAGGTTGGAATTCCGCTTACACACAACATCCTCAAGGTAGAGCGTGAAAAATCTGTTAAATACCAGAACCTGGCTATTGAAATGAAGAGGATTTGGAAGCTAAGGGAAGTGCAGATTGTACCCATTGTTATCTCCGTGGAAGGGGCTGTTACCAAACAAGTCTCCTCAAGCTTAAAGACCTTGGACCTTCCAAACGGCCTTCACATACTATTCCAAAAAGCCGTTATCTTACAAACGTGTCATATTGTGAGAAAGGCACTGTCTCTGTAAAAATTATCCTTGGTTGGGGTGAACTCCCCCTCAAAGATAGTACACCACCATACGTGAGGACTATGAGCATGAAAAAAAAAAAAAATAATAATGTCTTTATTAATCCCTCCACACTGCGAGGCGAAGTTTAGCCAGCTGGCTCTAATCTATTTCGGGCTTTTGCGCCCTTAGTAACACAACTTGATGTCCGGATGATTGACTTTATTCTGTCTAAAGATGTATCTATATTGGTAGATACTGCAAGGTACCTCAGTCATTCCTCTACCTAGCGCAGCATTTCCCGTGAATTATATTACTTGCAATAATTAACAAGTTTCTAATAACAATATATTATACAGTATGATCTTACCATACTACACCTACCCCGATATTCAAAAGATTTTTCCTTCTAATGAAATGAAAATTCTTTTACCTCGCAAATGGCACGACGAGTAAAATAATATTAAATATTTAATACAAATTTGTAAACATTGTATGCATATAAAATCTAGTTCTTAATTGCTATCTAACTATACACTGAAAATAAAAATTAAGTAGAAGAAAATAAGTTTGAGAAGGAGAAAATAGTTTAGAATATACGATAGGAAAGTCGGGCCCTTTTAATACTTAACTACGTACCAATACCTAGTTCCTAACATCTTGATTTACACTGTACATGAATAATAACGTTTCGTCCTATGATTATCGCCTTATTGTCCTTTAAGGTCCAGATCAGATGTGCATACGACAACTACCTTGAAAATATTCAAAATTCATTGTCGCATGATCCTAGGAGGTTGACGTCATCTACACGGACTTCTCGAAGGCGATCGAATAAATCATGATGTATTGCTTTTAAAGTTAATCAAATTTGGTTTTTCTAGTGATGCTAGGGGCCTTTTTGAATCTTATTTATCTTTGAGGCGGCAATTTGTTTCTTATAATAATTTTCGTCCTGATACTTACTTAGCCTCGCCCGGTGTTCCGCAAGGTTCAAATTTGGGTCCTTTGCTGTTTTTGCTAGTCATCAACGATTTATGTGAAGATTTGCAGAGTGGGCGTTTATGTTTTGCGGATGATTTAAAAATATATTCCGTTATCACTGATTTGAATGATTGTACTTTCCTTCAGACTCAATTGGACATCCTCCAGCACTGGTGTGATGCCAATAAGTTATTTCTTAATGTACCCAAATGTAAAATTATGAGTTATTCTAAAAGGAAAACTACCTATCACTTTATTTACCTGTTAAATGGGCTATCTCTGGAGCGTTGTACCGAAATTAAGGATCTAGGTGTGAGTTTTGATTACAAGTTGTAGGTTTGTTGTTAGAAACTGTAGACATTTCCATAACATAGTTTGGAATCCCTTTTATGAGTGCCAAAAGAGTTGTTTGGAGAAAGTACAGAGAAGATTTTCTAAGTTCTTAGTTTATAAAATTGATGGAATTTACCCAGAAAGGGGTGTTACCAATACCGAGCTATCCAGTCGTGTTGACCTTATATCTCTGGAGCGGCGCTGTTAATGGGCCACTTTTGGACAATAAAGCTACTATGTATCTATATATCTACAATTTCTACATTTGGATATACGTCTTCTACAACTAAATATGGACCCGAAAAACAAGGATTTGTTTTATCCCCAGTTTCATTCTTGACTAAAATTTTGTCTCCATTATTATAAACTGTAGGATTAGCTATCTTATCATAAACGACTTTTCTGGCCTGTTTCTTTTTCTTCAAATTTGCCCTTGTGTCATCGTAAGCTCTTTGTAATCTGTATTTTAGCTCAAGTTTTGACACTTTTTTACTAAGAACAATTTCAAATCTGGTGTACTTGGTGTGAATTATATTACTTGCAATACCTAACAAGGTGTCTAATAACAATATATTATACTGTATGATCTTACCATATTACATTAGGTACACCACATCGCTGGAGCTGGTTGATTCAATAGTTACCAGCAGATAGAGGCTTTATACTACGGGGTAAAAGTGTCAACGGTGGCTTAGTTGCTACGCTACGTTAACTACAATCACACTGAGACAGCTGCAGAAAAAACTGATTATTTGAGCAGAGAACTCACATTTCTGTAGCCTACAATTAGTGACGTACCTGGGAGTCTGCGAGGCTCGTAAACACAGCTAAATTCATTTTCGACGCACACTCAGTCGAAACAGTAATT